CCGGCTGCTAGCATGTGCAGGCTGGGACGTTGTGTGTGACCCAGCGTGCACATGCAGGGTACAACACAGCGGGCTGGAGGCTGAGAGTGGAACGGTGCAGGCCATGAGCGCGCATGTGGCTCACAGCGGCCTGGCCATGAGAGTGGCTGACCTTAGCCATTATCTTTGAAAACTCATGGAGGTTGAGAGAGATCCCAGATGATTGGAAAAAGACAAATATGCCTTAAAAAAGGGAAGGAGGACAATCCATGGAACTACAGACCAGTCAGCCTTACCTCAGTCCCCGGAAAAATCATGGAAGGGATCCTGAAGAAATCCATTTTGAAGCACTTGGTAGAGGGGAAAGTGATCAGAAATAGTCCACGTGGATTCACGAAGGGCAAGTCGGGCCTGACCAATCTGATTAGCTTCTATGATGAGGTAACTGGCTCTGTGGATTTGGGGAAGTCAGTGGATGGTGATATACCTTTACTTTCACAGTATCCCACAATATTCTTGCCAGCAAGTTAAGGGACTATGGATTGGATACATGGACTGAAAGCTGGCTAGACTGTCGGGCCTAATGGGTAGTGAACAATGCCTTGATGTCAGGTTGCCGGTTGGTTTCTAGTGGAGTGCCCCAAGGTTCAGTTCTAGGACCAGTTTTGTTCAACATCTTTATTAATGACCTGGATGATGAGGGGATGGATTGCTCCCTCAGCAAGTTTGCAGATGACACTAAGCTGGGGGAGAGGTAGATACGCTGGAGGACAAGGATAGTGTCCAGAGTGACCTAGACAGATTAGAGGATTGGGGAAATCCTCTTCATACTGATTGAGAATACTAGCATATTGATGTGTGATATCTCTCTACCTACCTTGGGGTGATTCACTTGGGACAGGGGAGACCACCACTACATGAAGCTGGGTTGGAGGTGTTGCAGTTCCCAGTGACTCTGGGAATTCCCATGATACATAAAATTGGAATTTTCCTATCTCACTAGAGGCAGGTGAGAGAACTGACAAAGTAGGGACTTCTTCCCTAGTCTGCAAAGCTCTAGGTCCGATACTCATCCAGTGTTACCACTGTGGGCACTTTGGCTCCAGTAACTGGCACTATTGTTGAAGAGACCAGTTGTAACCTAGTGTGATTGCTTACTTCCTCTAAGCTACTTCTGTCTCCAATCCCAGGTGAATCACCCCCAGGGTGGAGAGAGATCACACATTGCTATTCTTATGTTTATTTGGGCAACTGAGCAAGTTAATTTAAAGGTACATGTCAGAATTGACCCAAAATGTGTAGTAATTCCATTTCAATGTGACAGCGCATTTCAAAAGAAACTGTTCCTAAGGTGATTGGAGATGGGTTACAATCCTAATCTCACAGCTGTCTCTCTACCTATCAGTACTCATAAATCATATGGTGTGTAATAAGAGGAGTAAGTTTGAGAGGTTAGAAATCTTAAAACTGATATGGTGACAGATGATACAAAATTACTCCATTCTGAAGTTGTATAAAAGGGGGGGTGTTGCATTTGAGGTAAGTACATTCTGCATTTTTTCTTGAAGAATATCAACAATGGGATATATGAAGTACCTCTGAAGTATTAC